AGTAGCCCAAAGGTGGAAGCAACACAAATGTCCACTGATGGATGAACGGACCAACAAAATGTGGTATATGCATACATTGGAATGTTATTCAGCCTTAAGGGAATTCTGACACATGCTGCCAAACGATGAACCCGGAAGACATCATGCTAAGTGTAATTAGCCAGTCACAAATAGATGGACAAGTGACTCCACTTAAATGAGGTACCTGGAGTTGTCAAATTCACAGGGACAGAAAGTAAAATCGTGGTTACCAGGGATTGGGGGAAGGGAGAAGTTGAGAGTTAGTGTTCAGAGGGTGCCTATTCCAGTTTTTCAAGATGAAAATAGTTCTGCAGATAGGTGATGTTGATGTTTGCACAACAGGGTGAATGTGCTTGAGGCCACCAAACTGTACACTTAAAAATGGTTAATCTGCAGGGGTTGGGTGGAAAAAAATTTTTAAAGAATATGGTTAAAATATTAAACTTGGTTAAATGTATTTTATCACAATTTTGTAGAAAAGAAATGATGTGGGATATTGTGTGCCTGAACTTTTGCTGAATAATATTTACTATAATTATTGTTTAAACAGTGGTGAATGCCGCTCTAGGGTCCTGGCCTGGGTCCTGGCCTGTGTCTGGCAGGCAGGTAGAAATGCAGGTGTGCGGTGGAACTGGCCTCCCTAGAAGTAGAGACCTGGAACAAGAGCCAGGCAGCCAATGGGAAGTGGATGAGCTTACAGAGGGCACCAGGGTGGGAGAGGAGCCTGGGGGGGGGACACTCAGGGTCCATCAGGAAAGGAGCAGGTAGCAAAGAGGGAGGCGAATTCGCTGGATAATCACCCATCCCAAGTACTTAAGCATATTTTTTTCATCGACTGATTCTCTAAAATGAACAATAGTTTAAATTTACATTTTATAATAACTGGACTACACCTCTTTGTCTGTAAAATGTATTCTGTTAGATGCCGTGGACAAATCGAAGCTTTTCTAGGCTAGCTAGATACAAGCAGATAGCATTAGCATTAGCCACACTGGGAGCATTAAAAAAAGGGAGCTAGGACCCAAGACTCATTGGGGTCTCTTTGCAAAACCTCACAGAACTATGTCATCCCAATTTTACTACCTTCGAGTGTTGGCACATCTTTCTGTTTAAGTTTTCTTTCTTTCAATGACATAATCTGTTGCACATATGTTTCTGAGTCCCCGTGAACCTTACATTCGAGCCATTGAGCCTAGTGATGACTGGGCATTACATGGACATGAGTAGAGCAATAATGGCTAACACTTGTCCAGCACAGACTGAGTATTAGGTATTTCCTATAGCCTGGCTCATTTAATCCTCGCCGAAGCTCTGACCCATCTGCAAACACAGAAATGGGGGGAAGAGTGGTCAAGCACCTTCCCCCAAAGTCACCCAGATGGTTGATAGGAAGCTGGCCTTTCAAACCCTGGCTTTCTACAGCTGAAGAGGATCATTCACAAAAGTGATCCTATCAGTGTCCACAGAGGAAACTTCTGCAATTTCAACGGTCGGAAGAGAGTTTACAAGCAGCAGATCTTGACCATTACCCAATAAAAACAGAAGACAAATCATAAAAGGATTCTCTCCAAAATAACATACCGAGCAAAGGTCTTCCTGACCGGAAGCTGCTGCCCCGTAAGAGCCAGCCATGCTCAGTGGGAGCAGCCACAGAGAAGATGCTCCTTTGCTGCTGAGAATAGCAGTGTACAAAGCCTGCCTCCAATGAGCTGCAAGAGAGACGGGGCGAGAGGAACCGAGTTCGTGGACTTGTGCTTTAGATTCAGTAAACTTCTTTCAACTAGACCTGCCTCCTCTACCCCTCCCCCATAAAATATTGAAACAAGCCCCTTCCCAAATTATATCTGCTAAAAGCCTGTATTTGAGTGAGTTTCCATACATTGGTCAGTTGCATTTTTCCCCTGAAAGCATGAGATATTACAAAGAAAAAAGTCTTAAGGAGCCACAGTGAAGCAGATTGTATTATCTGAATAATTCAGACTGCGTGTTGAAAATCAAGGTAGGGATGACAGTAGTTTTCATATAGACTCAATTTTTTTCTACTAAGTGAACTCTAACCAATTATTTGCACATAAATATATTTTGGTATGTCTGTACACATGTGCACATATGTGTTTTTGAAATTTCAAGTTAATATCCTGGAAGTAACGTGTTAGACTTGTTTTTGTCTCTCTGTGCATATATTTTGAATTAAGTTTAAGAAATCAGGGCCGGGTGTGGTGGCTCACACCTGTAAGCCAGCGCTTTGGGAGGCCAAGGCAGGAGGATACCTTGAGGCCAGGAGCTTGAGACCAGCCTAGGCAACATAAATATTTTTTGTAGATAACTCCATATCTACACAAAGTAAAAAAAGTAGCAGGGCATGGTGGTACACACCTGTAGTCCCAGCTACTCAGGAGGCTGAGGCAGATGGATCGCTTGAGCCCAGGAGTTGGAGGCTACAGTGAGCTGCGATTGTGCCACTGCACTCCAGCCTGGGTGGCAGAGCGAGATGCCATCAGAAAGAAGGAAAGAAGGAGGGAGGGAAGACTCTGGTCTTCTCTGTGGTGGGATAAATTGGTTAATCAGTGGAAAGGTGAATGAGGCAGGTGGGTATTAACTTTGAATCATCAGTCTGCCTTCTCCTTCAGCTTCCCATTAAACCAGGTGGCTGAAGGCTAAACAGCCACTGTCAACACACAGTGGGGCCTCCTAGACAATAAGTGCGTGACCAGGTCATCTCTGATGCTAAATGCTCTTCAGGAAGTCAGACAAGAGGGCTAGGACAGTGGCACTTTGATGGGTATCTTTGAAGAGGTACTGCTTGTGCCCGGGCTTGAATCACAGGAGAGCAGACGCTGGGCCTGTCTGGCTCTGCAAGGAACCCTGGTACCTAGAAAACTCAGTAAATCCTAGTTAAATGAAGCAGAGATGGGTAGAACATGGCCCCACCTCACATGTATGAAGTAAGTGTTCATTATGATTGTAGTTGCCATTCTTAAGTCTCTCTTAATGCTGGCACATTGGGCCTCAGGGCTTTGTTTACAAGCTCCTCAATGAAGTATCACCCCAGGCTATTGAAGAAGCAGCTGGGCTAAGGTGGTAGCAAGGCCCACACCTATATGATGCGAAACCTTGCCCTCTAAAGCACTTTGTACTCATGTTTCTCCTGAGCATCAGAAGTATCTTTTGAGGGAAGTGGTGGTGTCCCATTTTACAGAAGAGCTGAAATCCAAGGGGAACATACAGATGGTTCAGCTAAGCTTGAATCTCAGACCCTTAACTCCTTTCTTCTGTAATATTTGGTTCAGCTTGATCCACGTGACCTCTTTGGAAATATCTGTGACCATTTTTTAATGTTGTGGGGACACTGGCTACTATCGGTAGTGTGTAACCCAGCAAGATACAGTTAATAGGATTGTCTTTAGAAAGAAAATAGGGTCCTAGAGTAGGATTGCTCGAATTTTAGGGGTTAGTGAAAACTGTTGAGCTGAGATAGTTTTCATACCTATCCCTATTTGTTTTTAAATCCATTCCCACCTAAGACTTGAAAAAGCAGCTTAGCTCATGAGGTTCTGAGAGCTGTTTTTCCAGCATCACTTGGGGGTCTTGCTAAGCTGGGTTTTAGAGTAGTCACATGACGTACAAGATGTGATCTGGCTATATAATATCAAATTTTTAGCCCTTCTCTCTTTGGGGTAGACCTGAGTAATAAACTTAACTAGCTGTAGTAATGAAGCCAAAAATTAGGTTTCCTTGAACTGCTAAGCTAGAGAGAAAAACATGCATTGTTCTTTGGATCAGACTTCTGTGATGGTCTTGCCTAGACTAAATCAGAATACCATCTCTGATGTAAAATTTCAGTAGTCAATTAGTTGGAATGCATTTTTTTTCAGACTTTCTTCGGTTGAGGCTTTTTCATATTGGAAATTTGTCAGTTTGTATGTCTAATTTTATTGTAGAATAATGGTTCATCTGCGGTCTCTTTCTGTTCGAATCCTTCCTGCACCATAGCAAATTACTCTTAACTGAAAATACCACATGGCCCTGTTGGATTTTAAGAAACAGCGTCCAAGGGATGCAACCTCAACTCTTGGCCAACAAGACCCTCCAGATGGGCTTCCAGCCAGCCTTTCCAACCCGTGTTGGCAAAGAGAGAAAAAACCGAAGCCTGTGAGGATTCAGGGTGATGGGGCACTCTTCCTTCCCACTTGTTTTGGGGCCTCTGAGGGCAGCAGCCCAGCCCGGCTATGTAAATGAAGGAGCCATTGCTGTATTAGTGCATTGCCACAACTCGATTTCAGAACAAGAAACTGAAGGGGTGCCTCCTTCATTGAGGAAACTGGGCTGCTAGGTCGGTGACCGCTACAGAGCTGACCTGTCTTTTTTTTCTTTCTTTCTTTCTTTCTTTCTTTCTTTTTTTTTTTCTCCTTTTTTTTGAGACGGAGTCTCGCTCTGTTGCCCAGGCTGGAGTGCAGTGGCGCGATATCGGCTCACTGCAAGCTCCACCTTCCGGGTGCCAGCGATTCTCCTGCCTCAACCTCCCAAGTAGCTGGGACTACAGGAGCGTGCCACTACCCGCAGCTAATTTTTTTGTATTAGAGACAGGTTTCACCGTGTTAGCCAGGATGGTCTCCATCTCCTGACCTCGTGATCCGCCTACCTCGGGCTCCCAAAGTGCTGGGATTACAGGCGTGAGCCACCGCGCCCGGCCGGAGCTGAGCTTTCTAAGGGTCTTGGGAAGTGTGGCTTCCAGTGCTCCTGGAGTTCCAGAAGCGGAAGTGTTCAGGGATTGGTTAACCTTTAGCTACTGAGTCGTGATTACTCCAATGGGGCTGTCATTGATTGGCTGTCCCTCTGAAGCAGTCTCACTGCAGTGAGGCAGTTGTTGATTGGCTGGCCGTCTGGTGTGGCTTAGTTGATTGACAGATTTCACTGGCGTGAAGTGGTCGTTTATCGGCTGGCCCTCTGATATGAGGTGGTTGTTGATTGGTGGGCGTCGATTGCCTGGTCTTCAGAAGCAGGTTCGGTTTTGTTTTGGTTTAATTTGGTTTGGTTTTTTTTTAATTGATGAGGGTGGTTATCGACCCATTAAAACCCATTGCTATGGCCAACCAATAGGCAGTCATTTCCTAGTTGTATGGGAACTTTTAATTTTCACGTGTCCTAGAATCTTAGAATTCTTGAGTTGGAATAAGCCTATCAAAATGCAGTCCACGCGTCGGACGGTTGGGCGGGTCGGGGAGGGGGCGGTCCACAGGCTTGGGCTCAAATCCTGACTGCCATTAAACAAAGCCCTCAATCTCTGTGACACAGTCTCCTGAAGGAGGACACCTCCCTGAAAGGTGGGTTTTCCCAAGATGAAACGCCTTGGCTTGTGGCAGGTGCGTATCACTGCTCAACTTTTACTTCCCATTGCATTTCGCAGAGCTCAGGGTTGCGGCCCAGGGGAAGCTCTGTGGGGCATTGTTTGTGGCTCGGTTCTCTCACTTGGTCTTTCCCCTCTAAGACTCAGAAGAATTACATGGGAAGATGTAAAACTCCTTGGATGCTCAGGCCTCTTTCATAAAGATACTGATATAATTGACTTGCAGTAGGGCTCAGGCAGTGGAATTTTTTTTTTTTTTTTTTTTTTTTTTTTTTTTGAGACGGAGTCTCGCTCTGTGGCCCAGGCTGGAGTGCAGTGGCCGGATCTCAGCTCACAGGCAGTGGAATTTTTAAAGCTTCTGTGTGATATTCGGTGTGCATGAAAATAGATCCTGCCCAGCCAGCTCCTTACTTAACTGCTCTTCATGCAGTAGGAAATATTAATAAACAACTTTGATTGGCGAGATCTTGACTGGTCTTAAGCAATGGGCTGCTCTTGTTAAAACCTTGTGGAAATTGTGTAATTAAGAAAGAAATGTGGGGCCGGGCGCGGTGACTCACGCCTATAATCCCAGCACTTTGGGAGGCAGAGATGGGCAGATCACGAGGTCAGGAGATCGAGACTATCTTGGCTAACACGGTGAAACCCCGTCACTACTAAAAATAAAAAAATTAGCCGGATGCGGTAGCGGGCGCCTGTAGTCCCAGATACTCGGGAGGCTGAGGCAGGAGAATGGCGTAAACCCGGGAGGCGGAGCTTGCAGTGAGCCGATATTGCACCGCTGCACTCCAGCCTGGGCAACAGAGTGAGACTCCGTCTCAAAAAAAAAGAAAGAAAGAAATGTGGTATTCAGATGGAGTATTCTCTGAATATTCCATTCCTGTTACTGCTGTTGCTCTTCTTGTTGTTACTTAGAAAATCTGCCTTTATGACTTTCAAAAGTCTAATCTGACTTAAAGCTCAGGTTAGTGAGTTCCACATGGTATGCACTTGAGATTTTCTGAAATTGGATAACAAAATTGTCTCCAGTTCTGATAGGAGCTTTATGTAAACTTTATCCTCTTGAATATTGTATACATTATGCAGAGGCTTTCCTCCTTCCCAAAAGGTTTGTTATCTTTAAATTTGGAAGTTAATTCATGAAAGAAACATGTATTATTTATAAAACGTTGTTAGCATCTAGTAGAAAACACTTATTTAAAAATGGTATTTAGGCTTCCCTGGAGTCAATGTGCTTAGGACCCCTGTAATCCTAAAGTCATCCCTATAAAATAATGAGAACTTCTATCAGGGAGGAAGGAGATTTTAGTCCAGAGTCTTTTCACCATTCCTTTCTCCCTAATTTGGAGAAATGTCTGGTTAGTTTAAGGACTGAATATTGAATTTTTCTGCTTAAAGACTGCTGGTGCATCTTCTACCTAAGAAGTAGAGAGTTGCTAAAATAGTTGATTATTTTATTTATTCAGCCATACTTTTGCTATTTATTACTTACAGAATTGACTTCTCTAGATATATAATATACACATTTATTTATTGTTTTGATAAACTTTTCATGTGTTATGTTCACTTTTGATGTTCCACATTTTGTAGATTTTAACAAATGTATAATGACAGGTGTCCGCCATTATAGTATTGAACAGAGTAGTTTCACAACCCTAAAAATCCTGTGCTTCACCCTTGCATCCCTCCCTTCCCTCTTGCCCCAGGCAAGGGCTCATTTTCTTACTCTCTCCATAGATTTGTCTTTTCCAGAATGTCATACCATTTTAAAGGAAAAAATTATTCATGACAAGAACAGTAAGGCAGACTTTATTCGGAGGGACTACTACAGTAGGGTTTTGCATCAAGAAAGAGATTGGGTTTGACTCCTAATATTAATACAACAAGAAAGAGTGGGCATTTATAGGCAAGGAGCAAAATAAGGGAGTTGGCTGATGGAAAATTACTAAGAGGAAACATCAGGGTGGAGGGTGAGGATTCTGGTTAAACTGACCGAACAGGATTCTTCTGAAGGCAGGACAGAGTGATCGGCTGTCACTTGGGGGATGGTAGAGGATGAGGAAGCTGATCAGATGTTGAGGGTGGAGGATTCCAGCTAGAGCAGCGTAGCAGGAGAGTCTTGCAAAAATTAGGCAATGCAGAGATGGACGCGGAAGTACAAAAGTCAAGGCCTAATGGGAAGAAGATTCAAAGGAGTCTGGCTGAAGTTTGGTTAAGGATAAACTGTCAGAATCACACCGTGTGTAGCCTTTTCAGATTGGCTTCTTTCATCTAGCAATATGCCTTTAAGATTCCTCCATGTCTTTTCATGGCTTGATAGCTCATTTCTTTTCGGTACCGAATAATATTTCATTGTCTGAATGTACCACAGTTTATCATTCACCTACTAAAGGACATTTTGCTTGCTTCCAAGTTTGAGCAATTATGAATAAAGCTGCTACTGACGTCCCTGCGCAGGTTTTTGTGTGAATGAAAGTTTTGGGGAAGAATTTTATATTTATAAAAAAGTTTCCAACATAGTACAGAACATTCCCATGTACCCTTTGCCTGGTTTCTCATTGTGTTAACATCTTAGGTAAATACAGTAACATCTTACTGGTGTGTTGTCCAAACTAAGAGATTGACAATTATTTATTATTATTATTATTAGACTTTATTTTTATTTCACTAGTACTTCCACTAATTTTCTTTTACGGTTTCATGATCCAATCCAGGATACCACCTTGTATTAGTAAAATGTTAATTTTAATTTATAGGAGTAATTTGGTTATGTTGCATTTATTAAATATGTTGATAAGACACAGCATATCCTGAGAAAATGAGTGTAAACCTAACAGTTATCAGGAGGCAGTGTTACTTAATGAAATGGACTCATTTAATCATAATGTTATTTAGAATTTTTTTCAAGTTTGTTTTTGTTAGAGGGTCAGATTTCCCCATGTGCAGCGAACAGTGACATAAGATTTGTTTTATAAGGTTGCTGTTTCTAAACCAAATACTAAAGCTTGTCGAAAGAAGGTCATTTTAAAGTCGAGCATTTCAAGACCCAGGAGAAAATCGGTTGCAGAGTTGTAATAAAAGCTGTCAGTGCCTAATTTTTCAAGTTGGTGCAAAGGATGAAGTGTCCGGGTAGTTCTCTAATGAGCATCTCCAAATGTTTTGCTGGCAGAAGGACTCCATGAAAATGACAGAAGAAGTTATTGTGATAGCCAAGTGGGACTACACCGCCCAGCAGGACCAGGAGCTGGACATCAAGAAGAACGAGCGGCTGTGGTTGCTGGACGACTCCAAGACGTGGTGGCGGGTGAGGAACGCGGCCAACAGGACGGGCTATGTGCCGTCCAACTACGTGGAGCGGAAGAACAGCCTGAAGAAGGGCTCCCTGGTGAAGAACCTGAAGGACACACTAGGTGAGTGTTCCACCCTTTGGAGAGAGGAAGCCTTGTGCATTTCAAGGGACACCGTTCATCTTTCTAGTTAGTTTGCTTTTTCAAAAAAAAAAAAATGTCTGTTTTAAATGTTAACATCTTCGTAGATGTCTTTTTTAAAAATCTGAGAATTAAGAGATGAAAATGGAGAAAGAGGATGTTTGTCATTTCCTGGAGATTCTGGAGTTTGGGGTCTTGTGTATGGAGACACTTCTGTGTGCCTGGGACCCCTGCACAGGTATCTCCTTGTATCAAAACTTTAGAGGACCCTGACTTGGAACTCTCACCTCTAAGTCTACCCAGCTCTGCCAGTGTCGTGACATGAAGTTCTTTCTCTCTTATAAAATCCTGTCCGTTTGGCGTACATGCCTAGAGCAGGGGACAGCCAAAGCACTTTTTCCCACTCTGAAATGGATGCTGTGTCACACCACAGTCCCGGGTGCTGTTAGCTAAGAGGCCAGCTGTGTGACATCAGAGGCCGCTCCAGGGTGGGGGCCCAGTTTAGCCATACTGTTGTCCGTTGTCCGGCTCTCTCCCCATGTGCCTCTTGTTTTCCCAGGTGTTAGGATATGGGCAGGGCCCTCCTGGAGTTACACAAAGTTAACAGTGTCCAGTCTTGCCTTTGCATGTGCATGCACACGGGACTGACTGACAGTAGTTACTGCCTCAGATTACCTTAGAAAACAATTGAGAGGACTTTTTTGAAGAATGACTCATCTGACATTTAAAACATTGTTGTTACCTTCTTATGAGTAGAATGTTTTCTGTATCCAGGACTGCAGGTTATCACTTAAGGGCTGGCTATTGAAATGAGTTAATATTATCACCTGTGTCACATTTACTTGGGGTTTTAAAAAATTTGGTAGCGAGGATTTGTTTTCTTTTGGGGAACGGAGAATGAGGAATACGTGGGAAAACTGAAAGTAAAATTATCCACCAAACGTGGTGGGTGTTGCAAAATGTTCATCTTTCCTTTTCTGCCATCTTGAAAAGTCTAAACTCCCTCTGCAAAAATCATTGAAAGCCTTCGTGTATTAGGTAGTACTGTTGTGTAGGGATTAGGTTATTACCATGATTTGGAGAGACAAGTGAGACACAGAACTTTGTACGAATCATACCAGCTCACCGGGAATCATAGATTCTCAGCCTGATGGAGAAATTTCATTTTTCATTAGTAATATGATCCTCCACTGGGCTGCCTCCCTTTCATCTGTTTCCCCCCTACATAAGCATGCCACTTGAAAGAAACAGTTTTATGCTTATAACTCTTTTTTTTTTTTTTTTGAGACGGAGTCTCGCTGTGTCGCCCAGGCTGGAGTGCAGTGGCCGGATCTCAGCTCACTGCAAGCTCCGCCTCCCGCGTTTTTACGCCATTCTCCTGCCTCAGCCTCCCGAGTAGCTGGGACTACAGGCGCCCACCACCGCGCCCGGCTAGTTTTTTGTATTTTTTAGTAGAGACGGGGTTTCACCGTGTTAGCCAGGATGGTCTCGAACTCCTGACCTCGTGATCCGCCCGTCTCGGCCTCCCAAAGTGCTGGGATTACAGGCTTGAGCCACCGCGACCGGCCGTATGCTTATAACTCTTAATTGACTGTGGTTACCAGAAAAAGAGGGTAGCGTGAATAGAGGAAAACTTGAAGATTGCCCTGAGCTTTATTTTTCCAATGTCTGCCTTTCACCAAAGTACCTTCTTTTTAGTGATGCTAAACATTGTTACACTGTTGACTTGTCGTGTCTTCTGTGTGTGTGTGTGTGTGTGTGTGTGTGTGTGTGCGCGCACAAGATTCCAGTAAAGCATGAAATGCTCAGAGACTGGTAGGAAGTAGAACAAGGCCAGGCGAGTTCTCTGGGTGACCTGGAAATTCCCTTGAAAACCTTGTCATTTTTCTTCCTCAGTGTTTTAGAAGGAGAAAAGATAAAGCCACAAATTAAAACTATGAACCACATCTTCCATCCAGCATGCTTAGTTTTTTCGGGAGCTGTGATCGGTTCAGCCAATGCCTCTACTCCCGGGCTCTCAGACTGAGCCAGCCGCCCATCCTGGAGCCGGTGCTGGGCCCGCGCCCGTCCCCGACAGATGGCCATCCAGCCCTGCTGGAGCTCAGCGACGATGCTCAGCGACGGCTCGAGTAGGCCAATCCCATTTTTGGAGAAAACAGATTGTTAGAAAGCTCTTCCTTAAATAGAGTCAGATTTTTACATTTCTTTAACTTCCTTCCTTTGGCTCTCATTTTGCCCTCTGGGCCTGTGCTGAGTAGGTCACATCCTGTTCTGTAGTGTGTCAGCTCTCTCATAGGCTTGGTCTCAGGTCAGGCAGGCAGTTCTTGGGAAACAATCCTGTTAAGCATTAGGTATTGTAAAAATACAGATAAAATGATGTTCTGAACTCGTGTATTGAGTATAGCAGTTGATCTGCATAGCCAAAAGGCCCTTGGGGATCAGTATCCCCGTCATGAGGGAGAAATATCCCCCATTTCTCCCCTTTTTGTTGTTGTTGTTTTGATCTCTTTATCATGCTCACCTAGAAGTTTTTGTTGAACAAAGGGATCTTGTTATATCAGCATGAGTTTTCCCTTGCCCTGTTGAGCTGCATCCAATAGAAGAGGAGGCACTCCCTGACTAGGTCTCACCATCATGCAGTAACTTCTGTGCACTTCTGTGCAAAGCTTGTAGATGTGGCATTGCCAAGAAGGAAAGTGAGAAAGCTTTCCGTAGCCCCTCCTGCCTCTCAGTTGTTTTTTTGTTTGTGTGTGTTTTGTTTTTTGTTTTTTGCTAAAAAGATAGGAGCCAAAGTGTTCATGGCTTCCTATTATTGTTGGTGATGATAACTAAATAGGTAAACCATCAGAATGACAGTATGACTTCAAGCCAATTATGCAGCCAGCAGAAATTATCCCTGCTGTGTATTAGGAGTGAACAAACAGCCTCAAAAGCACACCACATGTATACTGACCACGGTTTGTTTTTGTTTTTATTTGTGTTTTTTGAGACAGGGCCTCACTCTGTTGCCTAGGCTGCAGTGCAGTGGCACAATCCCTGCTTACTGCAGTATTGACCTCAGGAGATCCTCCCACCTTAGCCTCCCTAGTGTCTGGGACTATAGGCATGCACCATCACACCCAGCTATTTTGTATTTTTTGTAGAGACAGAATTTTGCCACGTTGCACAGGCTGATCTTTAACTCCTGGGATCAATCTAGTAACTACTCGTGGCATCATCCACATTTGCCATTTTTGCTGCTTTGGGAATCCACCAAATTCATAAATCCATGGTAAGATTCCTCCCTGCTTTGGAATAAAATGGCACCGGCCTCCGCAGCAAAGCCACAGTGTTGTGTGTTGCATCTCCAACTGTAGATTACCCTAACTCTGTGTAGTTCTCTCCTGCTTTCTTGTACTCATTTGCTGTCCTGAAGTTGGTAATAAACTTAATTTTGTCACATACAGTATTTTGTAAGGGTAACTTGAGGAAAGACATAAGTACTTTTGACAAAAAGCTCTCTCATGAGAGTATTTACCTTCTCTCTCTGCAATAATTTAAAATTGAATAAAGCAACCTGAGCACTTATTTTCACATGGGCAAAATATTTATGTACTGGATCTCCTCTCATATTCAGCTTATGATCATGAATAGTCAGAACTTTGCCATAGATAACAGGGAGCAATGATCAAGCACTGTTTCTGCTGGCAGAATCCAGTTGATGTTTTTGAAACGCTCAGACTGCACAGCTCTGAGCTTAGCGGAGAGTGGTTCTGGGCTGAGGTCTGGCCTTGATACTGCAACTCCACTTAGAAAATCGTGCAGGCGAGGTGTTGTAAAAGCACTATGCTACATCTTTTGAGATGGGGAAGCTGCTCCCAGGGAGGTATTTTTCAAAGATTTTCCCTCAAGCTACTGAAGAGCAGTTTTTCGTTACTACTTTATCACACCAGCTGGAGCCCTGCAAGGCCCCAAAGGTTAATTCTCTTTTCAGTGGTTAACATAGGCTTAAGGGCTGACTCACATTACCCAAAAAGTTATGGTTCCATTTACAACCTGATCATATCCTCAGGAGGGTTTGTTCACAGGCCCACCTGCCCATGGCTCACCCTGCCACCCTACCCACCTGGAACTTCTGCACCCAGCGTGACCTGCCCCAGGGCTTACTCGTCACCATTCCTGCCAGCGGGACCACACCTAGGCCTAGGGTGGTTAGAAACTTGCCGTGATCAGCTCCAGAACTCGTACCTCTGTGATCCAACCCAGAGCTGGGAGCACAGAGGCTACTGAGAGGGCTCCCTAATGCTAACTGTGAAATAGCCTTTGCACTGGTTTGAGCTGATGCTTTTGGATGGGGACAGGGTGGCTGGCACCCATGGGTGAAATAGACAGGGTTCTAAGAGGCATATCCATGCTAGGATCAACTTCGGAATTGAACTGATCAAAGTCACAAAGGAGTACAGCTGTAGGATTGTTACATAAGATCCAAAAGCAGTGAAAAGCAACACTTGGTGTTACAGTTAAGATTACAATACTCTGGAGGGAGGAAGGCAGAGCCTCAGTAAAGGTACAAGGGCTTCTGTCTTGGTGATCTTGTTTCCTGGGGTCTGTGGGGCAGGCTTATGGGCACACCTGCCTTGTAGGAGTTTGCAAAGCTGACTGCTTATTTCTCTTGTTATTATACTTTCGTTTTTAAGAAATTTATTTTAGAAAAATATCAGTTCAAAACAACAATCAGGGCCGGGCATGATGGCTTATGCCTGTAATCCCAGTGCTTTGGGAGGCTGAGATAGAAGGATCAGTGGAGGCCAGGAATTCGAGACCAGCCTGGGGAACATAGCAAGACTTCGTCTCTACAAAAAACTTTGTTTAAAAAAATAGCAGAGCGTGGTGGCACGTGCCTGTGGTCCCAGCTACTTAAGAGGCTGAGTTGGGAGGACTGTGTGAGTCCAGAAGTTGGAGGCTGCAGTGAGCAGTGATTGCAACACTGCACTCCAGCCTGG